AATAAAAACCTGTAATTAAAAAATTATTTTAACTAAATTTGCAAGCAAAGGTATTTATTTCTCGAATATAAATAAAAGTTTTATACGATGCTTATTCAATATAAAAAATTTTGAAATATTGAGTATGTCATATCATCAAAGTGAAAATTTAAGCGATCCAATTTTAAGCCTTTGCTACGATTTAATGAGAAACACCTATAACACAGCCGAATTTAAAGAACAGATATACTATGTGCTTCCGTTTCTTTATGATCGATTAAAAATAACTATAAAATACTTTTTAAAACTCATTATTATGGATGCAACTATCGATTCAATTGACAATTATCGTGCTCATATTAGAGAATATAATCGAATTAAAGATTTTATTATTTTCTTTGCAGAAGTTATTAACTATTTCAAAGATTTAGCAAAGATGGACTATCTTCTATTAATGGATAAAAGATTTAATAAAGCCGCGGTGATGTTTTTGATATAGATAATAAATATCGATTTAATATTGAGGGTTTTGAATGTGTAAATTCGTTGAAATGTTTTTTATACTAGAAGAATTTGAAGGATTTAATCATAGTTTTAAAAAATTTTATAAAAACTGTTATCATTTACATGGAAATGAGGAACTTAGTGTGTATGATAGAATTTTTTGTCTTCTTGATCCCGAACTTTCAACTAGAAATTAATTCATTACTTAATTTAGTATAGTATTTATGTAAATAAATTTAATTAATAATTGCACCGGAATGTATGTACTAACCTGATTAGTCAGGTCGTGTCAGATTCTTATGAGTCGGTGCCAAAAATATTAGCAAATTTATATTTTTTGGTTGTAAATCGAATACTATCGCTTCAAATAAAACGAATTTAATATCATTTGATTCGTCTCAGTAAGAGAAATCGTATGATGCCAAAATTACTCAATTCTAATCAGTGTATCATGAGATATCATCAAAAAACGTGAGTACATCACAATACCCACCTGCGTCATAATACCTCCCCCTCCTTTATGTGTTGTTCATATTGTTGAGTGAATGAGTACGTTAATACTGCAATGTGATAACTAATCTATACGTACAGTGCCTTATAATATATTAATAATAAAAAATTTTGAAAAAATAAATTTCTTGCGCTTTTCAAAGTGTCGATATAGTATGAAAATTTTCAATATAGACTTTATCACCGCTATTAAATATTGAGTGTGTTATTTTGAAGCGTGCATGCGCCTTAGTTGAGTAAAAAATCTTCTTATCCTCTTATCCTCTTTATTCAATGTTATCGTCATCATAACTTATTCATTAATTTTTATCGAATTTGATCGAATAATTAATTATTGAGAAATGATTACTTCAAGTTTAAAAAAAAGCACTTTTTTTCTTTTACAAGATTAAAACTTTGAACGAAGTTTTCTCGGGGATTACCTGATCAAATTCGATGAATTTTTTATAATCCTAAATGCTTGTAGAATCAAAATAAAAAATTTTTCATCGATTTTGACCACGTGGTTGTCGAGAAATTATTGCGTTGCAACTTTAATTGTTAAACTTTAGATAAATATTTCTCGATAAATATTTCATAAAATTTGGCAATTTTTTTATTTATTTTAATTCTACAGATTTGTAGAATTAAAATAAAAAATTTTATCTAATTTAATGAAGATTATTAATGAATTTGCTGGGTACAATGGAAAAGAACCCGTATTAATTGAAAATGTAAGTACACATATCGTAATGTAGGTCTTAACAATCTTTAACATTTTATGAAACTTAGAGTAATCAAGATAGTGATGAATCATCGCAATTTGATGAAAATGCATTTCCTGATGCTTATGTAAGAATAATGGCAATTATTTTTTATTTATTTTATTTTTATTTTTTAATATTAATTAATAATAAAAAAAAAAAAAACTCAGCAAGAAAATCTTAGTGATGATTATTCACCAGGCTGGTCAGAATGAGAAGAATGTTACGGTGATAAGAATGAATTTTGCGTCCATTGTGGTTGTTCTAAATGCGAATGGAAAGGTGATAGAAGGCATATCCTCTTATGCGATAGTCTTTGTGGAAAGAATTTTCATACTCGATGTCTAAATCCTCCGTTGGAAAAAATACCTGCTGGAAAATAGTATTGCAATAAATGTTTAAAGAAACGTAAGGTAGTATCAGATGATTCAGGTGATGACTACGACGGTAAAATTTTAAAGAAAATGAAGCAATCAAACCATAGAAAACGTACTACATCACTGGATACCACCTTGTCAAATTCTGAACTTAAGGGTATGTGAGCTGTTTATTATTATAGTATTATTAAAAATTAAAAATAGCTTATATTATATAGAAAAGAATGTAGAAAATGTAGAACCAATTGATGATAATATGAACAAATTTCCAATTCTCGGTGAGCACGTAAGTAATCGTAGTCGATAAGTAAATTCTTAACATTAATATTAATGTTTAAATTTAATATTTTCTTTATTTCTTAAAAAGCAAGTGGAAATCTGATCTAATATTCAGGTAAGAATTGTAATTTAATTCAATGGGTATGAATCTATATTTTTATTATTGGTATTAAAGCGAAAAATAAATTAAAGGAATCATCCTCGCAACTTAATATGAATGTTGTACCTTCACGAGATTCTTTGCAATTAACAAATCAATCTGAAGATTCAATCACTTATCTAGAGGTTAAAAAATACCTTATCAGAGTGAATACCGATACTAGTTATGAATGAATAATTGAATTATTCTCAAGTTAGTCATATTAAAAAATGCAATATCGAACGATAATTTATCTCTTTGATATTATCAAAGTAATAGCGCAAAAAATTGGCTAAATATTAGTATTTGCGTTAATAACATAGAGACGATTTTTGTGCTAAAAACTTATCGACTTCTTTGCTAAATTCTTACTTTTTTGTGAAAGCAACAAAATATTCTAGATTTAGTATCATTTAATAATGTTAAAAGGAAATTTCAATGATAATTCGTAAGATTAGGTTCTTACTAGCACTATTAACGAGGTTTTAACAAGGATTTTTGAAAAAATTTTAACTTTTCGTATTTTTTTTTCAAGAAATCTTGTTAATACCTCGTTAAAACCTCGTTAAAAGTGCTAGTAAAAAACTAAATTTGTGATTACTATAAAAATTTCCTCTTGGCGACCTATATTATTAATAAGATATAGAATATTTTGTTGCTTTCACAAAAATGTAAGAATTTAGCAAAGTTGGGTAAAAATTACGAGACTGTTAAATTTTTGCACTACCACATTCAGAAATATAAAATATATCAAATGTTTCTATACATACGTGTATGTAGATGACAATCCTGAAGAATTAAGGAACTAATGTTCCATTTTCCTTTAATTGTTTATAGTTGTCGTAGGAGAATGAACAGAAATTTATATACAAAAGGCAAATATGTTATTTCACATGTTATCCAACTGAATAATTAAAATGTTATCTATACTTATGTCAATAAAATTTATTTATATTGCAATCTCGAGTTCAACATATACATTTTAAATTGTTATTCATGGTGACTTGGTGAGTATTAATTTCTATATTAAAAGGATTTACATGTCATTGATTAACCTTGATGTTAAAATTATTTTAGCATTCTGGAAACATTTTGATAGATAATGATGATATAGTCTTAATTACAGATTTTGGATCATCATGGAAATTCGAAAACAGTTTGATTTCCTCAAGATCAAGTATCAAAGGTAATCCAGCATACATAGAACCACAATGTTGTATCCAATTAGAAAAAAAGGTCAAAATCGACGAGAAATTGGATATATATGGTTTAGGAGTATTGTTCTGGGAACTTACAGGTGGAATTCCTTCATTTTCTAACATCTCTAATCAATTACTATAGTCATAGAGATTGCACAAGTCAAAGAGAGAAAACACGCCCTCGGACTATACCGAACTTTATAGGAAATGTTGGGTGCAGAACCAAAACAACGCCCAGCGCTAGATAAAATTTTATGTAAGCTTGATGGGTTATCCACAATCAAGAAAACCCATCACAAATAATATCAAATATAACTAGTAATCTATTCATTTTTAATTACATTAAGTGAAACAAATTTATTAAAATGTATATTCAAATTATATTTATCGTTATCGCTATATATAAATTGATATTTATTCACTCCACTCACGTTATGAACTTTATTCTGAAATATTCGGAGCAGATATTTTTAAAACAATTTCCACATGTTACGAACTGTTATATTTTTAACGTGCTTCTATAAGACTAAGAAAAATAAAGATTTAAAAATATTAACTATTGTCAAATAAAATAACTATATAAATTACCTGAGACCGAATCTTTTGCCCAATTATTTAAATCACTACATTTACATATAAATTAGCAATATTTTTACCCTGATACCAATAGTCAAATTTTTAAAAAAATATGTAAAATGTATTTATGATAAATTAATTGAGTGAAGAAAGCAAAAACAAGCAGTATATAAATGAATCTTAATAAATTTAAAATTGAATGTATAATAACTTGCATGAATAGAAAATAAATTTAATTATAAAAATTTTGAATAGCATAATTTTTAAAAGCTCTCTTCTAATTCCTTTAAGCTCTCATCAGATAGCTTATAATAATCATTATTATCTGCTAGTCCCTGCTCTTCAATTTTTTTAAGAAGCACAGCAAATTCATCCTTTGTCATAACTCTTAGTCTGGGTGAGTCGATCGTTTTGCTATTATAAATTACTTGCCAACCCAATCTTTGAACAAGTATTAATAAACGTCTGGCTGCAATCATTAAATTTTTGATTATTGCTGGTTTGCTTTTATGATAAATAGTAGATGATTCTACTAATATTTTATTTACACGACTTGCAATCTTTTCACCTTTGGCAAACTCACGATTCCAGTTATTTGCATCTGGGTTTATTTCTTGTTTCCTTTCTCCAGTCACTTGATCAACCACAGTGATAAATCCTGGAATAAAAAATTGACCGGAGTTCTTTAGTTCCTTTATTCTTTTCGTTAGCTTTAAAGCGATATGTACTAATTCACAAAGAGTATGGATATATAAGACTCTCAAAAATTGATAATCATATTCATTATTTGAGATTTTTTTCCAAATAATTTTAATCTGACTTTCGATATCGTCACCCTCCTCAATTTCCATAGGCACCGGTAAAGAACGTGAAAATTCAATCTACTTGTCGAATATTCCTCTAAAAATTTTGTTTATTGTTTCATTTTTTAGCATATTATTTTTGATAATTATTGGCATTGGATTTTCATTGATTTGAACATCGGTGTGATTTTTTATCTTATTCGGCTAGGTTTTTAAATCCTATTAATATTAGATATAAGTCAAGTTAACATATTCATATTAAAATTCTTACCTGATCAAGCTTTAAGTAAATAAATAAATAAATTTTAGATAATGATCATCATTATGTTCGTATTTATGCTGATTATAATAAAAATATACTAATATTTAGTTTTTAGATGTAGTATTACACTAATATAAAAGTATAAGACCTACATGTCTAAACTAAGCTATATTAGTATACTATTACTATAAGAATATATAATATGTTAAACAGTTCTCTTATTAAAACCTGCCATACTTGTAAAGATTGACTATCTTCATCTGAAGTATTTTCTGCATCAATTTTATTAATTGAACTTTCAACTTGATTTATTGAGTGGAGAGAGGTTGAACTTCGAGAAATTGAACTTTGAGAACTATCGAGTTGTGTAAATGATTCCTTTGTAATTTGATAAATTTAATTACAACCTTGAAATATATTTTTAAATCTGTTGAAATTTGATTATGAATACGTACCTTATTTGTGTCCGATTGGGTTACTGGCACATTCTCTGTTTCATCTATTTGCTTTTAAAAATAACAAAATAAATAATATATACTAGTAAAATTTTGTTATCATAGTAGAGTTTACCTGTCTATTACTAAAGCGTTCATCCTCTTCTATAACAACAACAGGAATATTTTTAATAGAGTCATCGATAGAACTATTATTATGCGAAGTTGATTTTTCTATAATTTTCACGTACATATAAATAAAATTTTTTAAATTATATACATAAATTAGCCAAAACTTGATATAACAATAATACCTAAAGGATCCGATAAAGCCTTGCATTTTTTATTACGTTTCATTGTCTTTTTCTTTGAAAATTTCTTTACATTTTGACTGTCTTCATCATCAGAATCTGAAATATCCTGTTGTGCCTTATATTTTTTAACACTTTTTGATTTCAATCTTTTGTTTTTTTTTGCACTTTGATTATCAATTTCATCTGAACTTGAATATTCAATTTGTATTTTACGTTTTGATTTCTTCAAATTCTTCGAATTCCTATTTTCACACTCTTTACAATACCAATTTCCAGGAGGAATTCTTGTAAGTGGAGGGTTTAAACATCTAATATGAAAATTTTTGCCATAAGGACCGTCACACAAGAGGATACGACCTCTGTCGCCTTTCCATTTGCATACAGAACAACCACAATGTTCACATAATTCTTTTTTATTTCCATAGCATTCTTCACATTCTGACCATCCTGGTGAATCGTCATCACTTACATCCAAGTTTTCTTCCTACCAAATTTTTGATGTCAATAATAAATTTATTTTTTAAATTTATTAATCAACTAGTTGAAAATTCTTACATTATCATTATCATTATTTTGAATAGATCCATTGTCATCGGCTCGTGTACTATTGTTTGCTAGGGTCGTTTGTTCAAGCATTCCGGAGATAACATTGATTGATTGCTGGTCATTGAGCATAGATTCATCCGTTTCTCTGATATTTTTAGTTTGCTAAAATTTGTGATTTATTAATGATAAATTAGATTTTCAAGTTAATTATAGAAAACTTTCAAATTCCCTTATGTTTTTCTTTCTTACTTGATTGTTATTAATACGTTCATTATCATGCTAGTTCATATTATCAATTGAAAATTGATCACCGGTGCCAACAGCTTGCGAATCAGGCAATAGTTTATTGGTTTCCTCGTTATTTTCAAAGTCATTATCGTCATTTTCTCTTTGTTGTGGTTTCGATGATTTGTTAATTGTTAATTACACTTATAATTAATATTATCGAAAATCTTAGATTCTCACTAACATGTAGATATTTCGAAGCATCCTTTATAAATCATCAATTTCATAAAAAAAAATAAAATAAATAAATAAATAAAAATATTTGATATTAAACATAAATCTCTTACTTTATTTTTCTTATTTCTTTTCGAGCTTTTAAAATAATCATTCATATGACTACCTTTAGCTCGTTGGTCTTCTTCCAAATTTAATGTATCGTTTTCATTTGTTTGACTTCCGATAGTCTATCACTGTCTAGACCCTAAGTTTTATTTAAAAGTATCTTAATATTACTGTGTCGATTGATTATAAAATGTGGCAAATTAAAACGAAATCCGATTAAAATGAAATATTGCATAGTGTAAATGGACAATTGGTTTTTAGGGATTAATTAAAATCCTCAAATTTCATTTTTAATCCAATTTCATTATGACCTTCGACAAAATATTTTAATATCGATTACATCTTCGATAGTAATAGATTCTTTCTCATTTATATTAGCTAGATCATTGATTATTTTCCGATAAATCTCTTCAGAAATTAGAACCACTCCAGGTGTGTCAAAATTTTCAATATCCTTAGTGCCGTCAGTTAAGAAAACAGTTGCTAAGCGCGATGCGTCATTGAAAACAATTTCCCTAACTCCTCCCTTAGTAGCTTCCCATATAAAATTAATCGAACATCTAATAATTTCCTTTTTATTTTCTATAGTTTTGGCCATTATCCTTAACGGTGCGATAGTAAAAGAGAAAATGAAAAATGAAAAATCAATGTGGGTATCAATGAATTTATATTTACAATTTGACTATTGTTGATTAAAAATTTAATAATGGTGATGTCAACTGATATACTTATGATTTTGATAGTTTCTTAAATTACGTTGATTAATTTTCTTGTCATCCATGTAAAAAAGATTTATTGTATAATCATAACAATTTTAAAATATGTTGATTAATAGTTTTTCTTAATAATTCGTTTCGAGCGTGAACAAAATAATAATAATAATAATTATATTGTTATATAAATGTGTTTTTTTTTTTCTGAGCTAACTAATTTTTAAGCATGAACAATAACAAGCCTTTATCGTTATATGAAATTGTGGCGTTAAGCTGTTTTAGTTGCGGTCTGAATTAAGATTGATTCGGGCCGTAACTCTATTTACATTGAATCGCTCTTGTTATAGTGAACAGACCATATAAAAACCTTCCACTCGATATAGTAAATTGACGAAAATTTTACTAATTGACTCAAAATGTTCACAACCGAATCACTTCACAATAGTGAGTGATTTATTTTTCAAATCAAATTTCGACATTTAGTTGATTAATCATATGACTTATTTCAGCATCTACCAGTGCCAAAATACACACGACATGTGAGTAGCTATTATGCAATACGAATATTTATATTCTGATTTAAAACCTGGTTAAACTTAAATTTGGATATCGACATAGTTTGAGAAAACTTCATATTAATGTTAAACTCTAATTGTTATGCAAAATATTAAAAATAGCAACTAGAGATGTGAGCCGTTCACGTCTTTAGGCACAACAAATAAAATTAATTCTGGTCAGAACTCCTGGTAAAATCAAATTATAAATTTAAACAAAATTAAGCATAATTCCGGGCAAAATTAGGAATACTCCAGGCAAAATCAAAATTTAATTTCAAGCAAAATTAAGTATATTTTCGGGCAAAATTAGTCATAACTCCAAGCAAAAAAGGTATAATTCTGGTCGCATATTGGGATGTGTTAATTCGGGCAAAATTAGACATAACTCCAGGTAAAATCAAATTATAACTTCAGGCAAAATCAAATTATAAATTCAAACATAATTTCGGGCAAAATTATGCATAACCTCGCAAAATTAAATATAGTTCCGGGCAAAATTAGGCATAACTCCAGGAAAAAACCAAGTTTTAATTTCAAGCAAAATTAATTCTGGGCAAATTAGACATAACTTAAAGCAAAATCAAAATATATTTTTAAGCAAAATTAAGTATAATTTCGGGCAAAATTAGGCATAATATAATTCTGGGAAAATCAAAATATATTTTTTAAGCAAAATTAAGTATAATTCCGGGCAAAAATTAGGCATAACTTAAAATCAATATATTCTATAAATTTTTAATGACGTTGGTTAATTAGTTGGTTATTATTTTTAAAAGATCAATATAAAGAAAGAAAGATATTGAGTTAGTGTGTTTGTGAAAATTTTATTTTAAAAAACGTTTCATTTTTACATGACTTTTAAACACGTCATCATTATCCACCTTTCTTTCTTATATTTCCTACTTGTGTTTTATAATAAAAGTGGTTTTTACCAAGTTATTCTATTATACTGAATATTTCACGATTATTACTATGTGACAATTAGTATAGATATTCATCATATACTTAGCACCGTAATTTTATATTTACTTTTATTCTGATTTCAACCCTAGCCTGGATGAAATAAAAAAGCATAAATTAAGTATAATTCCGGGCATATCTCCATGCAAAATCAAATTTAATTTCAAGCAAAATTAAGTATAATTTAGGTATAATTCCAGGTAAATTCATTATAATTTCAAGCAAATTTTTGATATAACTCCAGGCAAAATCAAATTTTAATTTCAAGCAAAATTAGGCAAAATCAAAATATATTTTGCAAAATTAAATATAATTCCAAGCAATATTAGTATATAGTTCTGGACGCAAAATTTTAGGCAAAATTTAAATATAATTCTGGGCAAAATTAGGCAATAACTCTGGGCAAAATCAAAATATATTTTCAAGTATGATTCTGGGCAAAAATTAGGCATAACTTAAGGCAAAATCAAACAATACAGATCGGATTAATATTTTGAAAAATTAAATTTATATTAATTCCAAAATCCACATAAGAATAATATGATATTAACCAGAAATATTTGTATACTTAACTAAGAAGCTCTAATTAAAGATGTCAATTGTTATTTTCTTTAGAGTAAAAAATTTGTTTATTAGAAAAATATATATTGTTATCCACTATGAAATAATTTGTAACTCCACATAACTTTGGTTTAATTAATTCTAAACTCTGGTTAATATAATTTTGATATAATTAATTTGATAACTCCAATAAAAATAAATTAGTAACTCTAATAAACATAATTTAACCAAATATAGTAGTATAACTTTGGTAGAATTAAAATTCGTATAATTTTTAATCAAGTATACCGATTTTTGGCTGAGGAGGGCTAATATTTTTAATATTTCTGATATTGACTTTCCTATCATTATAAAATCCGATACTAATAATCATAGTACATATTAACATTAAAGCTGAATATATCCACATGTAAATAAAATTTGCAGCTCGAATTTTACATGCCGTCTTGATTTTCTGAAATGCATATGGATATTTAGATGGACAAATAAACGGGATAGTATCAATTTCATGGATAGTATCGATTGTATAAATGGCCTTTTCAAATTAAAATAAAATTAGTTTCATTTGTATGACTTACAATTAGAACCTCCACATCAAAAAGGATCAATGAGTCAAAAAAATTTCTTTTAAAAAATTGATTTTTTTGAAGTATAATCTTTATAAAATTACAAGATTAAATTTTTGTCCATTGACTCTTTTGTTGTGGTAGTCTCCAAATTAACATTATATGAATGCTCACTTGATAGAATTAACCAAGCCAAGGATAAGACCAAATCAGCCCTTAAATTTTTTAAAATTAAAAATTTAATAGCTGCATATAAAGCTATAAAGAAAATTTAACATACTGTACCGAATATCACTTGCTTCATAACGCCAATAACAAAATATTGAAATGAGATTAATAACTAAATCAATATAAATTACTCAATGATGGGATTCTTTTAAACGTTAATAAAGTTTCTTAATGATACAAATATGAAGACATTGTGATAGTGATTCTTTTTTTTTTTTTGAATTAACCTGTAATATGGGTCAAAGAGTTAAACAATCACCGAAGTGACTGTAATCTTGGCCAGGTGGCTTTAGTTTTACTATGGGTCTCGCTTGTCTTAACACACAACACCTTCACACTCAAATGCACCATCTTTACATGTAAAAACATTTTATCGAATTTTGTCAGATGGTTGTCGTGATATCTTTGCTCAAGGTTAGAGAAAAAAATTTGGCGCAGCTTTTATTTTGATGCGGTTTGATTTTTTATCTGACTTTGAGCAAGGATATCTAGATAACCATCTGATTAAATTCGATAAAGCGTTTTTATTCGAATTCTGTGAATATTCAGAATTCAAATAAAAACGCTTTATCGAATTTGTCAGAGGTTTGAAAATTCTTATTTTTACTGAGATCTGCCTCAGACATCTAGTATGTAGCACGTGATAATTATAATTTTTATTCAAGATACGATAGTTTACTGTACAAAACGGGATTAAGTTATGTTATAAAAGAAAGCCGTCATGTTGATTTAATAATTAAGAATATATTAAATATAGATCTAATAGTAATAGAAGTTGTAGGCCTCCCGCATTGTTGAAATTATAAGAAAAATCTGGGATTTTAGAAGAGGTATTAGAGCCTTGTAAGGATTCTTATGAAAAGTTTGTTAATAATTTGGCTGAGAAGTATGGCAAACGGATACTGAAAAAAATCGGCTACTATGAAATATGTGATGATGTTAACGATCTCGTAATGCAATCAGTGCTCCTTAAACTTTTTCAACAAACTCCACCTGTTATTCTGCAGTTAACAGAATTAACCGACCTCAGATTTCATTTAAGTTATGGCCTTATTTTTAGGCTCTTTATATATCGTTTAGATGATATTGGTGAAATCTGGTGGAATCATTTAGAAAAATGAAAAAAGAATCTCTTGAAGGTTTCATATATAAAGTTTCAGTAGAAGTACAAAAACTATCACTCGATTCAAAAAAACTGACCGATATAGTATTACCTGTCAAAAAGCATTTAGAATAGGGTTTTTATATACACAAAATTCTTATTTAAAAATTCATACCATTTATAGTTTTAGATCTTTTCATTTTTAAATATTTACAACTAAAGTAGAATCTATTAAAGAGGATACTATTATGGAAATAATAGATACTTTAACTAGTATAATTCAGTAATCTAACTTGGAAAATTTTCAACTTTGACAAGTTCACAACTCTTAGTTATTTGTTTTTGGATTTTTGTTTCTTTTCTAGTTTTTTTTTGTTTGTTATGATAATAATAAAACTGTGACCAAAATTATTGATTAGTATTATTTTTAATAATCTATTTTTATTACAATAGGAGTCAAAAGTATTTAATTACTTGTAACTTTTATATTGAAGACCTATTGACTTGAAATTTCTAAATTAAATAGTATAGTATATATCTAAATTCTATTAATTTTTTTATATTAAGATGGGTAATAAAATTAAATTTAACATTTTTTTTTATAAAAAATATTACTTATTTCTGTTGCGCTTTTTCCGTAATTTATTACATTCTCACTCGTACTCAATAGCAACTTGAAATAATTTGTCACTCATATTGACATTATCATTAGCTATACAAGAATTATTTTCCATTGCACTAAGATAGGTAAAAATAAAATCTTTGTCCAAAATCTCATTATTTTCGTGAGTATTAATAAATTGATAAAATTCAGGATAGTAGTAGTATTCCACTTCAGAAACATCGAAATTGGCGTTATCATGAAACATAATCGCAAGTTGAGTGAAATTTACAGATAAGTTTTCGAAATTCATTATCTTTATTATCATAAAGAAAATATAAAGGGTAAGAAAGTGATGAACGATTTCAATTTACAAAATTTTCTACATAATGAATTCCCGGAAAAACAACCTGTCTCCATATATTTATTGGTACTATTGTAAATTTTTCGAATGAGATAATTTAATTGAATCACATGAATTAACACATTATTTAAATATAATATTGAATTCAATTCAATTCATTCATCTTTTATCAATTTTTATTTGAAAGAAAATTTCTTCATTCTTTATTGCAACAATTCTATTCCAAAAATTTTTAATTAAATTTTAGATTAATATTTATAATAAAAATTATTAAACAATAAAATTACAATTCAGTCGATGTATAATCATCAACATCGATAGAAATTTGGTTAGCGAACAAATAAAAATTTAAATATATTCTTTTGATAATGTTTTTAAATAGTTAAAATAGAATGTTTTTTCTTTATAGCTGATTTGAAAATTAGTGTGACACTTGGTACCTTTCGATTTCGACTTATGAACCATCTAAATCTTTGGAAATCGTATCGCTATTTCGGACCGAAGTTCTGAAGACAGTGAAGAAGAGTTAGATGATTCATAAGATAAAACCAAAATGTTTTGGGAAATGAGCAAATTGTTATGCTCAGATAGAGATATGAACCGAACATTGAATAATATAACGATAATCTATAGGTTACTTTAAATCGATATGACACACCCCATCTATGAAGATCATCATGAAAGAGTATGATAAGGGTTCCCGTGATTTTATGCATGCGTATTCTATTGCTGTATTGTGAGAGTCTATTGTAGCATGTGCATAATTATGCATTAAAAATGCATCATCAATTTGTAGTTTGCGTTTGATAAAGTCATATATAAATAGAACTTGCTTTGAATAAAATCGATTGCTTGTCAATAAATTAAGTGGTCTTGTGGTCGTTGTAGTCAACATAAGGTGTCGAGGTGGATAGGACCTATATGATACACCAGTCGTCAAGTGAGTGGATTCTCTAAGTGGTTTGAACCTGTTGCGATTTATCTAAAGTAGCACCTGGCTAAAATTAAGCCCCTGAAATTAGATCTTCATGCCATGCTTGTATTAGATTATAATTTTGCTACTTTAGATATATAAAGTAGCTACTTTAGATAAATCACTACTTCAGATGCAACAGACCCAAGACCCCATATCGATATACTGCAAAACTACTGTATACGATATGATTATCGTTATCTCAATATTTTTCTATCCGGGTCCAATTTTAAATTCTCACCCCTTTTTCATTTGGAACACAAAATTCGCAGAACAAATTTCAGAAGCACGTATTGATATTTTAACTTTCAAAGATTTATTAGGAGAGATTACTGCATATAAAAAAGGAAAGTGCTTTTGTTGTTTGCACCTATAGCATTTCACAATATCCTACGATGCGTGGAAACTGTTCCACTTATGTGAACCTCTCTTGGTCGATGTTTGGAAGAGAATGTCATGTTTTGCTAGGCAATCTCATTCCAGTATATTGGACTTAATGGATATCCTATGATGCGTTGGAATTGTTCCATTGACGTGGACCTCCTTCGATCGATGTTTGGAAAGAAATAATCATGCTCCTGCTAGGAAATGCTTAGCACATGAGGTTGATAATTTCTTTCCAGAAATCCATTATATCATTGCCATACGTGATTCTAATGATAAAATTTTTTAATTCCCAATATTAACAATATTGGTTTTTTTTTTTTTTTTTTCTAGGATGAACATTTCAAGCAGGATTGCTGATTATTTGAGTAAAATAAACTATGCAAACTGGAACATTATTGATTGTTTTAAATTTTTGGATAAAAATAATTGCCCTGGGATAGTATCTGAAAATAAAGAAGAAATCTTAATAGAATTCAAGAAGCAATTACATTCAGCATCTGTTAATCAGTCATTAAACAAAAAAGCCCGTGATAAAGCGACAAAACTTTACAAAAATGCGGAGAGGAACTTTGAATTCAAAGAAATTGTAGCATTTTTTGTTCGGATGGACGAAAAGGTAAATTATGCATGTTAATCTATATCATTAATTAATATAATAATGTCAACTAATTTTAGCAAATTTATAGGCCAATATAAATATATTTAATACCAAAACAAATTTATATGGATCAGAAGTCGCAGTGCAAATGATTAATGACAAGTTAAATGATTTTCAATATAAAACATCTTCGTTGAAAAGAAATAATGAGGAAGCAAATACTGTGTACTATATTCATTATCTTTAAGTTAGTTAGCTAACATATTTAGTTTTAAAATATATGAATATAATTTTCTCAATAGGCATGTTTATTTAATGATGATAGAATAAAAAAACAGTGTAATCAAAAAGATTCCACATTTGAACTTTTAACAAAGGAAAGCCTAAATACAGATGAGGATTTGATTATCGGAAACTTTAAAGTTAGAGAATCGCTATTGAATTGGAAATTGAAAAATAATCTATTTCGTGACGAGTATGTTTTTTTTTAAAATAATAATTTTTAAGCTGCACTAAGATTTAATTTACTAATAAGTTTTGCAACAGTCTCCAAAATTATGACATATTAGATCTCACTCCAGACACAAATAGTGATTTTGTTAAAAGCTATTTGTTACCAGAAGTATATAATAAGCTTATAACTCATGAACCAACAATACAGGAAAGAGATTATAATGAAATTAAAGCTTTTATTAATAATATGATAAAGGTATATAACAAATCTCTTTGTATACTTTATTACCTTAATAACTTTTAATAACAAACTTTATAGGTTACTGATTTTAAAAAATCGGTTGTTGAGCATTATTTACTTACTTGTAATGATGATGAAAAAGAATTTTTGCGGAATTACGTAAATTTATTGTAATATTGTTTACTATACGTGAAGAACTAAGTTATTTTAGCTTTAAGGAACTAGCTT